CAGCAGGAAAAGATCTGTAAAAGCAGAAATATATTCTAGTAAATCACCACTGTGTGAGTGCCTATTAAAAATCCTGTAAATAATAAGAAATAAATGTGGATGTTAAATATCTCAAAGCTCATTATTGTTTAGATTGAAGGTTTTGGTTCAGTCCATTGTAAAGAGAGAAATCATCCATGAACTCTAGCCCCAGATTTCCCATTCATATAACAAACACACCCCTGCACCCCACCTCCACCCCCACAATTTAAGAGTGTTTGGCTGAAAGATTTCTGGGCCCAAATTCAACAGTCCATCCAATGCACAGTTCACTTAAGTTCATTTTTAAATGCTTTACTGAAAAGGGACCACTAAGAAAATCCAGAATCTTTTGGTTGCTTGGAAATAAATTAATTACTAAAGACATGTAATTTCTAAGAGTTCTACAGTTTAACCTTGGAAATCATTGCAAGCATCATATGAACAAATTATGAATGTTTATTTACCAGAATGAACCTTCTCTGGTCCACAATTCATAGAAAAATAGAGCCACTACCAAGATTTCAAATATTTCCTGGATTCAAATTAAAAATACCACAAACTGTACTTTCTTATGTTTGTTCAGTGTTTCTGTTTTTAATCTCAACAATATGTGGACTCATACAGATATATGAAAATAAATATGAGAAAGACATACTCAATGTAACTAAAATTCTTATTCATTCATTCTAGCCTCAGTGAAAGCCCCACCAGATTGTATATTAAATCTAAACCAGTTCGCCTTTCCCTGTTCATTAACCCTAAATGACCACATGGTATTAGGTCAAATGTATACATATGTATGTATATGCATATGTATTATTTATTTTCCTTAACATTTGCACCATATTACAAGAACCAGGAACTTTCAGAAACCTAAAATAAAAGCACTACAAGAGAAAGAAAGGCCCCAAGTATTAATCTTACTCATGGTCTCCTAGTGCAGTCATATCCTCTGAAGTTAGAGGGACAGATATATAATCTGGGAAGTTTTCCAGATTTCTTTTTAAGGAAATGAAGTGTTCAACACCGGCTCTACTAAGAAGGGTATTTTTGGTTTTCCACAATGCCATTAGCAGTGCTGAGTAGGGGCTCTGAACACATACGTGGAGATTGTTCAGGAGTGCAGCTATGTCCTGGTAGAGCTAGAAATGCTGCCTTTACCATCTCATCTGCGTTATACATCCACATTTCTAAACAACTATATTATATAATGAGTTTGTACATTGTTTTGCAACATAATCTATCCTGTTCCTAACTACTTGCTGCAGAATTCTGTGCCACAATCCAAGCTTTCAGAAAGTTTTATCAGGAACACAAAAATAATCTTAAAGTTGTATGTTGATCCTGTACATTCAATATTGCTAAGACATATGGACAGCTCCATGGATCTCAATGCCTTGTTGTATCTATAACATACAGAAGGTAAAATGAGTGTCAACACTGCTGACTGTTTTATTGACTTCCACTGAATTTAGTCAATGTGTTTATACTGCAGTGCTAAACTGCTTCTCATATCTGACTCCAAAACTTTTAACCCTTTGCTCAGATGCCAAAACCTCAAGCTTTCCACATGATAATTTCTATGATGCAGTTAAGGTTAGAAGGAAAATAATCAGTGTATTTATAATGGAAAATGTGGAACCAGGGCTTCACCGGCTTTAAATGGACATTGCTTTACTGACTTCAGTGGTGGTACTATGATTTAAACAGTGAGGAGTAGTCTGTTGAATGTAATGTCAAAAAACTAACAGAGAGGTACTCTGATGAAGGTTTTATTCGTGTTCATATTGGATACAATAACATTTCCATTTTAAAATGTAAATTAAGGTACCACTGAATTTCTAGTCTGCCCCACCAAACTGCCAGAGAATTCAGGGATCATGCTACTGAAACTTGACCCAGTTTGCTGCAGAGTACATGGGAATGAAATATTTATAATACATAAGTTACAAAATAATTTTAAAAAATAACAGTTCAGTCATAATCTCTTCTCTGCCACAAAAATACGACTCCCCCCAGATGAGCGGGTAAATAGAATTTTGCAAGACTGAATGAATATAGGTAATGATGGAAATATGTGTTTTTTTCTGTCAGAATACTTTCAAAATAAATTAATAAAAACTATTTAAAATGTAGAAAAACCATGCTTGTTATAGCTAATACAGTGCCATGAGCCGGAAGATTCTATTGATCTTACAATCAGTGATCTTGCCACAGAAATGCTACCAGTCTTTTCCTGTGCTGAAAACTAAAATAAGTTGTTTAGAAATTCTGCTTATGCAGCAGATATCATAGCTGATTCATCAAGAGCCAATTTTCTGGGCTATCACTTAAGATATTCCAAGGTGACTAAAATTATTTGAAGAAATTCAGTCTATCTTGACTAACCCATTATTTAGGACAAAACTTTCACAAAATCATACATAACCAAACAAAAAAAATAATGCATCAGGCAGAACTAAGTAAAAGATTTATTGTTGAAAGAACTTCTTGCATTAGATAGATGAGTCATTCCCCTTGCAAATGCAGGTGCCAAGGCAGCAAAATAAGTAACCACTTGCTTAACTGTAAAGGGGCAGACAGTTAAAAGGCAGCAGGGGTGTGCTATGTCCTGTGTCCACAGAAATGTAAATATAAAAAAATGCCAAAAAAGACAGAATCTGAAACTCTTCTCTGCCCATGGAAAATATAAAATGTAAAGCCATTGTTGCTGCAACTCAGGCTTCATCAAGAATTGAACTTGTATTTAAATAAGAAAGAAATACTAAACACACACTAACATTGCTAAGCACAGCATGTTTGAAATGCACGTATTACGTCTTTCTAAGGAGTATTTAGTGATTCTGCTTGTTCATGTTATGATTGCAGATATGGAATGCAAACCCTCTGTTCTGAGTGTACTACCCCCCCCCCCGCATTGATAATAATATTTCCCTGTCATAACTACATTACAGCTGCAAGTGCCTGTGCATACATATGTTAGTTACATTTGGGCTGAAGCAGGATTACAATGCAAATTGGTTTGACCTATGTATGTAGTTCTGCTGTCTTCACAGGATGGTATTCTCTTCTCACTGATATGCTGGGTGATTATTTCTTTGGTACTTGTTTGTTTGCTTATTTCAATGGTAGCTGTGTCCTGACCATGACGAATAGCTTGGAAGTTTCCAAACTGTTATTTTCTCCTTAAGCAGCCTGTGTATTTCTATAGCAACTCTTCATCTATAGCTTCTTCCATTTCTGCACTGAATCATGTTTCCACTGCTTTAGGGTTTATTCTTCAACTGATAGGTATGCATTACTCAGGTGAACACAACGATCCAGCCAGAGTCTGTGTGGATCTACTTTGGGGCTCTCTCAGAGCAAGCCTAAGGATAGGGCTGGCTGGTTTGTCCAGCTAAGTGTAACTTTCCTTTCAATTCACTTATAATTAGCTCATTATGATGTGTTTTGAGAACAAGAATGTGAAGAAACCACTCAGAGAAGATCTTAGGGGAAAAAAATCTTTTGCAAGGTTGCTCCAAGTGGCCTTAGAGGTTGCTAACATAAATGCACACACTGTGGTTGGGGAGAAGCCTGTCTGTTGGCCTTCAACATAAGTTTATCCTTGAGAAAATTTCCCAGACTTTCTGACTGCCACAAAAGAAGTGTTTTGTGTTTGTTGAGCTGCTCCCTTCAGAGGTGTGGGGTTTGTTTGCTTGTTTAGGTTGGGGGGGGGGGTATGATTGACCTTAGTGATGACACTGAAGCAGCTACACAAATTATGTTTAACACTGAAGCTTCATATGTATTCAGGAACAAACTCCAGTTAATATACTGTATGTTCAAAGTTACTATACTATGCGTGTTCAGGACTCAAAATGGAATCCATTCCTTCTGCTCAGCATGTGAGATAAATCTGATAAATTAGAATGATCTGTTTATATTCTGAGCAGGTAAATTGAAAACATCGTATCTTACTGCAGTTCAAGGAATGCATTTCAAAAAGTGGTTTACAGTAGATTTACACACTAATTTTGTATTTGCAGTCATACATCTTCTGAATTCTGAAAGGAGCAGAAGTTGTGGAGTTAAACCTCTTGGTAAAGCATAACATTTATATTTTAATTAGCCCTATTTATACAGTCTTTAATTCAGAAATTTTAGTTTGTCTGCCAAGGGGCACAATTTCCAAAGCTGTATCAGTTATAGATAGGCTTTGTCAGTAGGCAAAGTCTAATTTAACATCTATAAAACCTCATTGGGCAGGGCCTGGCTTTTCATTTAATTACATAAATGTCCAGTGCCTAGCAAAATGGAGCCCTGATTCTTGACCAGGACCTCCAGACACCAGCTCCAATACAAACAATATGTAATCATAATAAAAGAAGATACCGATCAATCAAATAACAAGCTGTTAAAAATGGTTGGGATCCAAGGTTAGGAAGAGAGAGATGCTGAGACACATCAGCAAATGCTTACAGATTACGAAGTAGATGTAACCTTGTGCTACAGGGAGCATCTCTGTTGTGTTTCATATGTATTCTCCACAGTCCTTACAAGGTATAGTTCCAGTGTAGGAACAAAACCAGCCTTGCTCCAAGGGTATTGTACGTAAAGATTAACAGTGTCAAATGGTGACAGTACTATCGTAAATTCCAAGCACACAAAAACTAAGATGTTAAATCCTATCTCTATAACTTCTGTTCCTCTCAATGCGAAATTCAGAAGGTGTTGAATGGAAGTGATCACAGAAAGTAGTAGCTTGATTGATAAAGTCCCTATCTGGTCATTTACGATCTGGCTGAAGGAGAAGCAGCTTTTGCCAGACAGAAAAGCAATTAATCTGCAAACAAGCTGAGGAACAGCAGGGCTGTGCATTGGAGTCTCAGGCTGCTGGGAGCTCATGAGAGGAGATAAGACTGCAGCCTGCTATTTATTGTACATTTTAATTAAGTGCTTGTTAACGGCAGTTATCTTAACAGTCATAAAATTACTGTTGTAATGCATTTTGTTTGAGGAAAAAAAATGGAGGGAGCCGAAGGACTTTATGAAAGCAGTCACAGATTGCTTTCACTTTAAATCAAAGAATAAATTCTGAAGAGGAGGGATGTTGCAATGATCTAAGCCGAGCCACTAATGGTTATTTAATGTGGCCATCAGTGTTTGTAAGTCCCTAGCATACGGAACGTACACAATAGCCTCCAAACCCTCTTTAACACTTATTTGAGATGACAGGAAAAATGAAACCGTTTGTGCTTTCAATGGAAAAGCAATCATTGGTACATTATATTCTGCTTGCCCTATCATGCTAATGCATGGTAAAAATGTCACCAAATGTATTTAAGGACCTGATGGAGTGTTGCCGTTTGATTCCTGTTACTGGGCTGATTAATAAAAATCTTCAATTTGTATGTAAATGCAGTGGGGTTTCATATCATCCGCATACCTGCACCTGGAGAAAATAATAAACTGAAGTTTAATGCAGCAATTATAAGCATTTATGGAACTCTTTAAAGAGGCTGCTTCCTCCCCTGACCATCAAGATGAGATATTCACAGAGGAATATTACTGATGCTCAGACAAGCAGGGTTGCAGATGGTCCCCAGTGCAAATGCTGCCAATGCAGATTAACTCACTGACTCATACTCACTTTGGTACAACAATGTAAGCTACTTATTGTTAGACAAAAGTGTCATATTTTTCCCTCCATCTGAAATAAAATCAAATTGAACTGTACTTTGGAGCAGGGGAGGGGTGGCAATTAACATTTCAAATGAGATATGTTTGCATCATTTACACTTCTCCTGACATCATTTAATTCCCCTGTGCATATGTTCCCATGACAACATCATCACCATAGATAAAAAATGCATTGGTACAACAGAAACTCTTCAAGATACATGACAACGGCTGTTTGTTTATTTTTTAATCCCCTTAATGATGTTCAGACTTTTAACCAATGACCCCCCTTAATGGTCCATCCTTAATAAACAAAGTATGTGGCTATTTGCATCTTCACAGATGGATATTGGAAAGGGTTTGTGGTTTGGGCACTAATGGAATAATAAGTACCATGTATTGGATATGGCCATGTAAAGGAATATATTAGAGCATAAAGAGATATCTACTTTGATGTATGCTCCTGCACAAATTCTGGCTACAGAGTAATTCATGATTAAGTACGCAACATAGATGTTCTTAGTTTGTTGAAATCATTTTCTGATTTATATTTACAAATTCCAGACTCTGTGTACAAAATGATAAATAAACATATTAAATAGTGATCTCCTTGAGACCAACACAGGATAAATTATTGTTCTATCACTTCAACAATATATTGTTGTTAGAATGTAATGCTTAACTAACACAAGGGTAGGTAGCATGTGTTATGATTTACTGTACCGTTCCATAAAATGTTCATATTCTTCATAGATTACCTCTATTAAATGAAATCATTGATCTGGTAGAAGCACAACCTTAACTAGTCTTTGTTTAATACACATAGACAAGGGTTTGACTTAAACCATTCACAGATCATCTATTTTGTGCTTCTCATGGTCCAAAATCAAAACGTCAATGAAAAGGGCCTAGATTTTAAATCAGTTTCCCCTTTTCATAGATTTCATAGATTTCTAGAGTCAGAAGGGACCTATTGGATCTTTGAGTCTGAACCCCTGCTCTGGGCAGGAAAGAGCGCTGGGGTCAAGTGAACCCAGCTAGGTGCCTGTCTAACCTCCAAGGTAGGGGAAAGCACCACCTCCCTTGGAAGTCTATTCCATATTTTGGCAACCCTCACCATAAAGAATTTCTTTCTGATGTCCAATCTAAATCTACTTTCCTTCAGTTTATGGCCATTGTTTTTAGTAACCCTGAGGGGCGCCCTGGTAAACAGAGTATCCTCTGTTCCCTGCTGACCCCCCCCCCCCCCCCCCCCCCCCCTCTGCCCCCCCCCCCCCCCCCCCCCCCCCCCCCCGCGATGAGTTTGTAAACAGCCACAAGATCACCTCTCAGCCTTCTCTTGTGGTGGCAGAAGAGATTCAGGTCCCTCAGTCTGTCTTCATAGGACCTTACCTGCAGACTCAACCATACGAGTAGCCCTCCTCTGAAACCTTTCCAGGTTATCCACATCCCTCTTGAAGTGCAGCACCCAAAACTGGATGCAGTACTCCAGTTGTGGCCTTACCAATGCCACATAGAGGGGAAGAATCACCTCTCTAGACCTGCTCATGATGCACTTGCTAATGCAAGACAGACTGTGGTTAGCCTTACTTATTACCTCATCACATTGGCAACTCGTGTTCATTTCTGAGTCGACTATGACTCTGAGGTCCCTTTCCACTGTTGTGCTACTTAGAATGATACTTCCCAGTTTATAAATGTATTGGTGATTTTTTCTTCCCATGTGCAGCACTTGGCACTTATCTTTGTTAAATTGCATCCTATTCTGATCTGCTCATTTCCCCAGTCTATCCAAATCCTCCTGAATTCACTCCCTACCCTCTAATGTGTTTACTATACCCCACAGTTTGGTGTCATCTGTGAATTTGGACAGAGTGCTTTCTACACCCTCATCCAGATCACTGATGAAGATATTGAACAGTACTAGTACAAGGACCAAGCCTTGGGGAACACCACTGCCCACATCTCTCCAGGTAGAAATCAACCCATCCACCACGACTGTCTGGGTGCGTCCCATGAGCCAGTTTTCCACCCACCTGACTGTGAAAAAATCCACATCACAGCTACTTAGTTTACTTGTAAGAATTGGGTGCGACACGGTGTCAAAAGCCTTTTTTAAATCCAAGTAAATAACATCTACCTCTACTCCTGAATCTAAGCACTTTGTGACCTGGTCATAAAAAGAGACCAGGTTAGTCAGGCAGGATCTGCCTGCTATGAACCCATGCTGATTGCCCCTTAACATTGTATTGCCTGCTTGACCACCACAAATATGATCCTTAATGATTTTTTCTAAGGTCTTGCCAAGAATAGAGGTGAGGCTAACCAGCCTATAATTACCCGGGGTCCTCCTTCCTCCCTTTCTTGAAAATAGGGACCACATTGGCCCTTTTCCAGTCATCTGGGACCTGCCCCAAGCACCATAAGCTCTCAAACAGTTGCACCAGTGGTTTTGCTATCATACCGGCTAATTCCTTTAGTACCGTTGGGTGAAGATCATTGGGGCCTGCCAACTTGAATACATCCAACCTCTCCAAGTGCCCCTTCACCAGGTCAATGCTAACCATTGGTGGATTGGTATCTCTTTCAAGCCAGACTAAAGTCTTGATGGGAGGTGTGTTTGTATCTGTGTCCAGGAACACAGATGCAAAGAAATAATCTAAGAGCTCAGCTTTGTCCATTCTCTCTGTTACAAGTTGCCCTAGTCCATCCTATAGCAGCCCTATGCTACCCTGCGCCTTCTTCTTGCTCCCTATGTACTTAAAGGATTTTTTGTTACCCTTAATCTTTGTTGCCAGCCTGAGTTCCATTTCTGCTTTGGCCTTTCTCACTGCTTCCCTGTAAGTGCAAGCCAAGGAGGTATACTCCTGCTTGGTGGCTGCCCTCTGCTTTTGTCATTATAACTAATTACAAGTCCCAACCCCAGTATTTTCAGATCAATACATCCGTGATTTCAGAAAGGAATCACAGGTAGATGAATGTCAAAATGCTTCAGGCAAATCTACCTGAAAAACCTGAAGGCAGCCTGAGACCCCTTTTGAAAATCTAGAGATCAGTCCTGCTCCCATTGAAGTCAATGGAAATTTTCATTCATTTCAGTGACTGAAGGAGACCTTGGCCCACCCCATGTGTAGAAAGATCTGCTGTCTATCAGGCACAAACATGTGCTAGGCAGCTGCCTGAGAAATACCACTTCCTTTGTGGTCTGAAAGGATACCCCCACCTCTCTTGGACATGCAAATGGTTCTTTCAAAAGTAAGATAACATAATCACCCAAGCTACGTTGTCAGACTACACAAAATTCTCACAAAGAAGGTATCGTGTGTGGCTATAGTTCTAGGTAAACAATACTCATGGTAACAATATCTATAAAGAGGAAAACACTTGCACCAAAGTCAAAGTTCCACATGAACCAAACAGTTAATCATGATTAAGGCATACACATTTCTATAGCCAGCACCACACCAGGAAAGGACATAGCAGCATCACATCAGGCACTTTTGAATGCCCCATCTGAATGACTAATATCTATTTACAACTAGAAGTAGTCCTCATCAGGATTGAACTTTCCTTTCTTGATCGGTAGTGTTACTTTTTAACTGCACCATTACCTATACCAGCTGTACCTGTGCTTAAGTCCTGGGAACCCAGAGCATAACATCACCTTTTCTGCCAGTTAGCAATTTCTAGAGGAAGTTTTGCTCATTTGTTCTTTTTCCTAGGTAGTGACTGTGAGTCAGTGACAATACAATATTTCATTTCATACCAATAGCTATGCTATCAGGATGGCATATAGAGTGTCAAGATGCTTAGATTCCTCAAGGAATACATCCAACAATAAGCATGCCAAATTATGGGGAAATGCTAAGCTGACCAGAAGGACTTCCAAAGTCCATCTGTAATTTATTGAGCAGTGTTTCTGTGATAATTTGATTTTTACATGAATTCTGACAAAACAGGTAAAATGCCAATCTCCTCCTACTTCCTTTTCCATTTCTGAATGTGTGCTAGCATAGATCTTAACATCTTCACTGGGGTAAAGCAGAGCCATCCCTAGAGTACAGTGAATCGGAGTGACTTCCCTGGGCCCTGCACTTTGGGAGGGCCCCACGGAGCCAGGCAGAGTGGCCACAGCCCCTCCCACGGGGCCCGCCTGGAGCTGGCAGCTTAGTCCCACACCACAGAAGAAGCACGGAGGCCCCCCCTCCCTCTTTGTGGGGGTAGCATGGCCCCACACAGTGTTAAGGGGGCCCTGCACAGGCTGATTTGCCCTGGGCCCCGCACCTCCCCTAGGGTCAGCTCTGGGGCAAAGTGCCATTATTACCTACCACTAACCTTTCCCCATCTTCTGAAAGAAGAAAGTTGCAATCTTTCCACTGCTAACAGATACACAGACACTAAACAAATAAGAAAAAACAAAATGAGCACAGCCCCAAGGCCTAATCTAAAGGCTATAAGATTCAGTGAGAAGACTTTGTATTGACTTCAGTGAGCTTTGGATCAGACCCCAAATCAGGATCACAAACACCAAGTCTTGAACAACTCCAGGTTAACTCTGCTCACCTCTTATGTAAAGATTACCATGGCATCCATGCCACAACAATCCATGGCCCTATGCAGTCATAAGACCTCTATCCCTATTGGTGCTACAAAACCAACAACCCGTGGAAGAGTAAAACAGATTATATCACAATGTGTGTGTCATAGACAGAAGTGGCAGCTAAATTCAGATGATAAAATGTTTATTGCCCATCATAACACAAGGAGTGGAAA